TGCCTATGTAATGGTGAGAGAAGTATGGCTGTGACAAGATAAATTCAACCTACACATGTACCACAATCAATCCTTTCATGTCCTTTGTGATGTGTACACACAGTCTCCTGGTAGCATGTGACAGGTTCCCTATAATTACTGTACTTGTTGAGTTAAAGTGCTAAAATTCTAACAATTTTTAAAAATAATTATATTAAGCATAATGCATAACTAAATACAAAATGAGAATAAACTCTGAATTAATCAAACTAAAAAGCAGCAGTATTAAATAAAAATAATACAACAAAAACATTTTAACCACAGCAAGAGTAAATCTACTCTTGACCACATTAACAACAACAATATTAATAATCGATCAATCAAATCTCATCTCATTCAATGTTTTCACTACTTGAGCCATAGTAAGACGAAATCTAGGATTAGCATGAAGCCCTCTTTGTATCAGAGATTTCATATCAAACCAGGAAACATTACCAGCTTGTCGTCGTCTCTCTGCTGTTGTCATTTCTGGTGGACGGCGTAAGTTCATTTCTATAAGAAGAACAGAGTAACTATAGATGTCCATTGCTGGGCTGTGTTGATCAGGAATAGGAGCTTCTGGTGCAGCATATGCTGGATTGCCTGGCATGACAGTACCAGTGCTAGTGCCTTCTTGCAATTTAGCTGTACCATAATCTGCTACTTTAGCTTGATAACCAGCAGGTCCAGTGCAAAGCTTTAATAGTACGTTAGGACTGCTAACATCTCTGCGAATAATAGGCTGAGGTTGAAACAGATGAAGGTAGTTAAGGCCTAAAGCTACATCTTGGGCAATACTAAGAATTTGTTGATTAGTTAATCGGTTTCTTTGCAGCACATAATTAAAACTAGTGCTCATCAGCTCAGTCACAATGAGAGGATTACCCACTTTAGTTGCACCAATAAACTGGACAAGGTTAGGATGACGTACTTGTGATGCTATGCTCATTTCCCTACAGAAGAGACCTTGATTATAATCTGAAATGATGATAGCATGAAGTGACTTAACAGCTACTCTTAAACCTCTAAAGATACCAACTGTAACGACAGCATAAGATCCTCTTCCTAACTCCTCTTTTGTCAAAGTCACCTCATCTTTATTAATAACCCAGTGACCATCTGTAAGCTCTACTTGTTGCTGGTACCTATAAATTGCTTCTTGAGACTGACATAGCTCTCTATCCTTCTCCTGTAGCTCTCTTTCCTTTTCTTTTAATTTTTTCTCCTTCTCTTCAAGATTCTTCATAAGAGCTTGTACTGTTTGTTCAATATCGGCTGTACCTCCTTTCCTTGGTTTCTGGTACTCCTCCAACCACACTCTTCTTGCAAGAAGTGCTACCTCCTGATACTTCTTTTTGTACTCTTTATTATTTATAACATTGGTATCTAATGTATCAGTTACTATCCATTCTCCCTTATTGTTAGTAACTAAAAAGATAATATATAATGATAGTAAATGGTCTCTATTTATATTTATAAAAAACTATCATAGTATACAGAATGTAGTAATACTGACCCAATTTAGTTAACAAAGCAATGTTAGGATTAGCAACAAGTTCGCATTTGTCATCAATGATTCCTCCAACAGTTAGCATCCAAACACAATGAGGACTCATAATATACACTGACAGAGAATGAGCCATTCTTTTGCTAACAGAGTGAGGTACATCTAACTGTTAATAGAAATTAATTGTATTGCACATGCATACACATTGTAAATGTACTTTTATCCACGAAAATTGAGTGGTGTTCAAGATCCAACAATCATCTAATGTGTCACCACTGCTGTTACTCCCGCCACTTATCACTAGCATAAAACAACCTGGTCCAGCTATAATAATAGCACCTGCATGATTATATCTATGCATAGGCCATTGGCATATTGCTTCGGGTTTCTTAATACACTGCCAGAACTAAAGAAATATAGCAATATTTAAGACTCTGTGTTTGTGTCTGATACATGTACATGTACATTCAGTACAAGTATATAAGCATACCAGAGTGCCAACTGATACTTCTATTATATAAATGTAGTTAGTAAAAGTAGACATAGCGTCATCATTAGTCTCTAGTCCACCAAACAGAACAGCTCTAGTGTTGTTGATCTTTTCAATGATGAAGCCAGAAGCAGACGGTATACACCGACCTATTATTGAAGGAGCACTCCATTTTCCTAAATTAAAATCATTTCAAACCAGAGCATTGAATTTTACTTAATGATATGTTATATATTGATTGCTCATTAGTACGCCACCTTCCATCAGTGAACTCAATATATTTGTTATATTGTAGTTGTACAGCTGGTTTAGATCCTTTTCCTCCTATGATTAGTAGGTAGTGCACTCCATCCTGATCAAATGATAGCATTCCACCAAAGGCTCTCCTCATAACTGATCTAGTGGCGTCAGTTGATTCTAATTCTCTCCATTGAAGACTGATAGTATCCAGTTGTGTAATGCTGTTGTGATAACAGAAATCATGGCCACAATAACCCCCAAAATAATACAATACATCATTTATTGCAGTACAGCAATATCCACATACTCCTAATGGAGGAGTACCAGTAGTACTTCTAGTGAGCCATTGACCAGTTGAAGGAGTAAACTGCTGTACATTACTAGTAAACCATCTCTTTTCTTCACCATCATGTACTTCAGGTAGCCTACCCTGATTGCCAGCCCACACATACATTGAATTGTTTACTGACACAGTGTGGTGAGTAGCTCTTTTACTGGCTCGATCTGTTTTTAACATCGATAAATGCATGATGAAAAAATTGCAGCACTTACTTTTAGATGATGCCATTCCCTGCCTAGGCCAGGCTCAGGCTTAAGGCTTAACCTGGCGCTAGGTAGCTACAGCTACTCGAATACAAGATAGAGGAAATATATGTTCTATTTATCATAAGTTAACCAGCAATAATTGAATCAAAAGGGATCAGTAAATTGTTATGAGAATAACTACTCTTTAGACAATCATTGTGTGCAAAAATAAAAATAAAAAACATGACTATTTATTTAGCTTTCTAGTTATGTATACTTTGACAGCTAGGTGTATACACATGATCGTGTATGTACATCTGTCAAAGTAGAAGGGAAAGTGAATAGTCCTGTTTTTGAATATTCTTTGCACACAGCAACTTTTTAAATTCATAACAGTGTACTGTTAGGTTCAGATGCATGCATTAACCTAACAGAATCAATTTAGAGAAGTCATTTGGAAAAGCAAAAGCTGCATATTTTGATTATATAGCGTTTTTTATATCGCATCTTTATTTTAAAAAGTAATGGAAATACATGTATTGACTAAGGACTTGATGTAGACCATGACTATGAGCTCATAACCAATACTATTAATAAAAATTTAAAGTTGCTATGCACATAACATGAGAACATAAATACATGACAATGTAATAAAAAATTTTTAGTCTTACAAGCCTGACAACTGCCCAGTTAACAGCAAGAGTACATAAGGGTTTGTACTCTTTTTAAGAGTCATTGGGCAGATAGCCATTATCAAGAACAAATGGTATTAAGCAATGTATCAGTAACTAAACCCTTCTCTTTGTCTACCCAAATGACTAATATAAGACAGCTTGGCTCACAAGACTAGAATTTTGCCATAGGTCCTATGGTCTGTGCATATGGTTTTTCAGTAGTGAAATTTTGAAACAACATAACTAAAAATCCAAAATTGATAACAATTAGCTATGCAACAGAAAACCTAACAGAAAATTTCAAAATCAGCTCAAAAAGTCCACATAAGAAAATGAAATAAAAATTTCTGCAGCCTTTTTTTTAAATAAAGTAGATTTACCATTTCAACAAAAGCCCAGATTACATAAATATAGAAAAAATAAGTCATAATCATGGCTCTTTCCTCTGCTAGCTCTCTACCATGGATTTGCAGTATGTTGTTGTTTGTGAATACTTTGAGGAAATGGGGGACAAGCATGGTCTTAACTCTGCTTTACCTCTGTGGATTGCTCACAACTTAACACCCAAATGTCTATGAAGTATTTTATGTCATTTTGACCTGAGGTCATTGTTTAATTGATAGTGGTGTAGACCAGCATTTTCAGTTGATCAAATAAGAGTTTTACATAATGTATCTAATAAGAGGGAATTTTATGTTGAATGTTATGTATCTGTTTGAGCACTTAATATCAATTTGATTGCACTTGCAGGTACACTTTGAGGCTTCATTTTTGTTATTATTTTCTTAGTACCATGAAAATGTGTCACATCACAACCCAAAATTTCTTGTCAATGTATATGTACATAATATGTATGAAGTATGTGTGGTAAATTGTTGCCCTTTACTTGTGGATGTCATGTTTTATATAGGTCACCTCTCCCTCTAAATCTACAAGGGGAAAAATTAGAAGCCTATAAAATTAGCATTAATTATTATTATACACGTGGTCGAAGATGTGACGTGCAACCACCAATCGTTACATTATCATCAAAATTAGATAGTAGCTCACAAAAATGACATAGATATTGAGTAAGTTGCTAGTTTTATTGATTTGGCTTAATGTTGTCAAATAGGACATCCTTCAAATGCAACCTGTTCCCGGAAAAGGTCACCCATGAAGACAAATTTCTTAGTAAAAAACTTATTGACACTTATCATTGCAATTAGAATTTTAAATAGTATTGTTACATTAAAGTGGCTATAGCATTTAAGCAGTCAGTAGGCAATAAAAATTCATTGTTACTTATAAGTCAACTTCTGACACCAGTAGCTTTCATTTTATTGGATTTATCAACTCTCATTGTCAGTTGCTACATCATTTTTATGGTAAAGTTTATTGGATTTTCTGCTCATCTCTCTTTTTTCATTCCAGTTCTACATTATATTGCTGTTGCAATAATAATAACAAACCCAAACAATAAGACTAAAAGTAATACCACTATCATTACTGTGCAAACGTATTGGTAGGAAGCACTATCATAAATGGGATTTAAACAAGTACAATGCCTATGTAATTGTGAGAGAAGTTGGCTGTGATTCCATCTACCACAATCAATTCCTTCATATCCTTTCCAACATGTTCACACAGTCTCCAGCTAGATCATGACAGGTTCCCCATAATTACTGCACTTGTTAAGTTGCAAAAATTTTAACTTAAGTTTTTCTTGAATAATAATTATAATATGCACAATGAAAAACTAAATACAAAAAGAGAATAAACTCCAACTTATTGAAACTAAAAAGCAGCAGTAATAAAATACAACAAAATCAACAACATTTAACAACAACAAAAATAATTAATTTAATCTCATCTCATTTAATGTTTTCAATACTTGAGCCATAGTAGGACGACCTCTAGGATTAGCATGAAGTCCTCTTTGTATCAGAGATTTCATATCAAGCCAGGATACATTACCAGCTTGTCGTCGTCTCTCTGCTGTTGTCATTTCTGGTGGACGGCGTAAGTTCATTTCTATAAGGAGTACAGAGTAACTATAGACGTCCATTGCTGGGCTGTGTTGATCAGGAATAGGAGCTTCTGGTGCAGCATATGATGGATTGCCTGGCATGACAGTACCAGTACTAGCGCTTTGTTGCAATTTAGCTGTACCATAATCTGCTACTTTAGCTTCATAGCCAGCAGGTCCAGTGCATGGCTTTAACAATATGTTAGGGCTACTGACATCTCTGTGAATAATAGGCTGAGGTTGAAACAGATGAAGGTAGTTGAGGCCTAATGCTACTTCTTGAGCAATACTAAAAATCTGTTGATTGGTTAACTCAATCTCCTGAAGCTTTTTATAAAGATTAGTGCTCATCAGCTCGGTCAAAATAAGAGGAGTTCCAACTTTAGTTGCACCAATAAACTGGACCAGGTTAGGATGACGTATTTGTGATGCCATACTCATTTCCCTACAAAAGAGACCTCGATTGTAATTTGAGATAACGAGAGTATGAAGCGACTTAACAGCTACTCTTAAACCTCTAAAGATGCCGACTGTAACAACAGCATAAGATCCTATTCCTAACTCTTCCTTTGTCAAAGTCACCTCATCTTTATTAATAACCCAGTGATCATCTGTAAGCTCTGCTTGTTGCTGGTACCTAAGAACTGACTCTTGAGACTGGTGTAGCTCCCAATCCTTCTTTTGTAGCTCCCTATCCTTCTCAAGTATCACAATATCCTTCTGTAGTAGAGCCTCTTGATTCTCTTGTAGTACCACATGAAGCTCCCTATCCTTCTCTTGTAGCTGATGACGATAAATCATTATTTCCTTCTTTTTCCTTTTTTCCATCTGCTCCAATAATTGTTGATAATAAATTTGTGTTTCGCTCTCCTTTTCCTTTTCCCTCTCTTCAAGACTCTTCATGAGAGCTTGTATGGATAGCTCAATATCAGCATTTCTTTTCTGGTACTCCTCCAACCATATTCTTCTTCCTGACTGTAGTTGCTGCTGATACTTCTTCTTGTAGTCTTGACTATTCATTTCATTGGTATCGAATGTCTCACCTACTGTCCACTCTCCTCTGCTGTCAGTAACTACATTGTACAATAACAATAATCTACTTACAATTTCAGATTTCAGTTAGGTATAGTTGTAAAAATTAAATGTACATGTAAGTACGAATTTCAAAAAAAATTATTAGTAAGTGTGGCTATAATATGTCATACACTAACCATATAAATACATGCATAACACTACATAAAAGGGATTGGAAACCACCAGATAATAAAATGTACATGACTAAAACAGTAAAAATGAGCAAAATAGTAGGTTTATAACTTATAATTTACCAAAATAGAAAATACAACTTAGCCCTGGAGGTAAATGGGCATTCTAAGTCTATACTTTACGTAATAATAATTACATCAAAATAAAGTTTGTCACTTCGAGAAATCTATCTATTTTAATATTGGGTGGCAACCTTGTGCATATACTGCATAACCTTGTTTAAATTTTTTACTGTGACTGTATAGCGAGAAACTTTTGAGGAACTTAACTTTTGCTTATTTTGCAGTTTTGTTGAGATTTGTTTGTGAAAATATAGATAATACATACAAGAGACGGTGGAATGCTTTGATTCACAAAAAATAAATCCATAAAAAATTAAAAATGATTCTTGAGTGGATCAGCAAATAATAACTATAGCAATTCATGCCATAAATAGTGGTTTCCAATCATTTTTATGCAGTAGCATGAGCTAGTCATTTCGGAGAGGTAAACAATACAAAATAATACAAAACAAAGCAATAATATTACAAAATAACTAATACAAAACTTTCAAAAAAGTTTGAGTAGGATTCAATTTTGTGATTATCTACAAAAAGGTAATGAAAACATGGGCAAGTAAGATTCTGAACAATTTGACTACCCATACCTGACATTGCATTTACATGTAATGCATTATATATGGGTAACAATGTAGAGTAAGATTTGCATCACAACAGTAGGATTTTCGTCGGTATAAGTAGTCGTATTTGCTCTTGTTTCCCATACCTTTTCAATGAATAAGCACAAAGTGAATCCTATTAATCATTTTGTATTAGCTTTTATAATATTTATTTTTCAGATGGTGCTTTTGTTGCTATTGTGGTACATGTACTTGTTGCTAAACAAAACAGCTGTTTTAGCTTTTCTCTTAGATGGTTTAGAGCAAGTTAGTGGTGCCAATGAAATCCTCTGGTCAAGATAAAGTCCTCTAAGAAGTCTGGTTAGCATAGGAGTTGCTATTCCGTGTATGTTTATAGGCGGCGGAACATAATTTATTTTGGAGGATAAAATTCAATTAACTTATTAAAATGGGTGTGGCCTAGTCCAAAAAATGGCTGCTAATTTCTATTGTTGGATTTCAAGTCGTTTTCTTTGTGTTTTCCTTTAAACAAAATGAAGAAATACTGATTGCAAGTGTAGTTTTACTGATAAAAGTCAGTTTTATTCAAGGTTGCAGGGAATTTCTGGGGGGCTCAGCCCCCTGTTTTAAGACTGGGGGGGGGGGGCTTTAGCCCCCTCTGCCCTCCCTATTCCACCGCCTATGATGTTACATACATGTATAACATTTTCCTAATAATGTGTTATTACTGCAACTATCTATGCTCTGACCTAGTTCAGTTAACATAACAATGTTAGGATTAATGACTAATGTTTGTCTCTCATCAACAGCTCCTCCAACAGTTATCATCCAGACACAATGAGGGTTCATAATGAATGCTGAGAGAGAATGACCCCACCTCTTACGAACAATGTGAGGTATATCTAACTGTTAAGAAATGTACAGATCAATAAAAATAATATCTGAAATACTGTACCTTTGTCCATGAATATTGTGTGACATTAAAAATCCAGCAATCATCTAATGTATCATTATTATTATCCCTCCCACCACTTATCACTAGCATAGGACAGCCTAATCTAGCTGTAATAATAGCCCCTGCATGAAACCCTCTTCCCACAGGCCATTGGTCTATTGCTTCAGGTTTCTTGATACATTGCCAGAGCTAAAAAATAAATAACAAAACTCAATAAGAATGACATTAGTGTGTGTGTGTTAGTGTTTCAACCTAACCCTCCAGGTTATGCCTCAGGACTCTGCTACAATAACTGTAGTCTAGCGCTGGGCTTAAACCTCAATTGGAAGTACTGGTATCTTCAAAGCTTAATACATCCATTGACTTAAGAGTCACAATTAACAGAGTATGGGGTTTTCCTTCTACTTAAAAAAACAATGCTTACTGGGCAAGGGGCAGACAGTCTGGCCTTGAGAATCAGAAATGGCGGGTTAAAGAATCTTTTATGGAGCTCCAACTCCCCTGCACTGTCTGAGTCTCACTCAGCTATTGGTTTAACTGATAAGGTGTTTATGCAACTGAACTCTATGTTAATTACTCCTATGCACACAGTTATGGTTCATGTTATACATAAAGGACACTGTGTACTTTGTTTATACAGTTGATTTTTGATTGTAAATTCTTTTTAAATTTATGATTTATATGGAATTCTATCTTTCTTAGTTGTCGTCACACACTTAGATGCTGCCATGCTTTTTAATTGGTTAATTAAGTATTCATGTATCACAATAGGTGGGCAGTAAATTATTAATTAATTTTCATGTGTGTGTGTGTGTGTGTGTGTACGCGTGTGTGTGTGCGTGTGTGTGTGTATGTGCATGTGTGTCAGTGCATATACTGTATAGCCAGAACAATTTTGCAAAGAATAATTTTTCGATTCCTTACAAAATAAGCTTACATACATTTGTAAAAATTATACGTTTTTTTAAATGCAAAACTAAGTTGTCAGAAAATATTAATGCTACATGGTAATGTAACATACCACAGTGCCGATTGATATCTCTAATATATAAATATTGTTAGTCACAGTATCTTTAGCATCATCATCAGTCTCCAGTCCACCGAACAGAACAGCTCTAGTGTTGTTAATCTTTTCAATGACAAAGTCACTCATAGGTGGTGGTATAGACTGACCAATAATCACAGGATTATTCCATTTTCCTAAATTAATATTCACACAATTTGAATGAAAATTAATAGTAATATAAATCTTACTTGACAATAGATTATATATTGAGTGCTCATTAGTACACCAGTTTTCATTAGGTAACTTAATATATTTATAATGAGGTAGTTGTACAGCTGGTTTAGATCCATACCCTCCTATCATTAGTAAATGGTGTACTCTATCATCCTCAAATGATATCATTCCACCATAAGCTCTCCTCATAACTGGTCTATTTGCATCAGTTGGCTCTAATTCTCTCCATTGAAATTGGACAGTATCCAGTTGTGTAATACTGTTGTGATCACAATCGTCATGGCCACACCACCCCCCGAAATAATACAGTTGATCCTTTATTGCTGTGCAGCAATATCCTCTCACTCCTAATGGAGGAGTACCAGTAGTATGTCTAGTGATCCATTGACCAGTTGAAGGAATAAAGTGCTGTATGTTACTAGTGATTCTTCTCTTCTCTTCACTATCATGTACATCAGGTAAACCATCCTGTTTACCAGCCCACGCATACAATGAATCACCTACTGACACAGTGCGGTGAGAACCTCTTTCATTCAATTGATCTCGAGATTGATCTATATAGCAATGATTGAGAGTGCATGATACAGGAATAATAGCTTACTTTCGATTTTAAACCCAAACCAAGCCATAATGTCCTCCATAACATCAGCCATATTAATGCAAAATTAGAAAATTACAAAAAGCAAAGCTCCACCCCTGTCACCAAGAGTGCTAGTACAGTGGATCATCATTTAGGGTTTTAAAATACGCTCTTGCTGTCACTTAAATCTGGGTTTAGTGGATTAATTTTGTTTCTTGATGACTCCCTTCACTACTGTCTTAAACATTTTAAAATAACTTTCATTATTATTGTTGCTCAGCTCAAACATTTGATCAACGCATACTGTACATCTATCATCAATCAAAGGTAAAGTTCACATGATAATAAATTTAGAATGTAATTATCTAACTAGCAAAAACACACATTATCATATTACAATCTTTAAAAAAATATTTTAAGCTAAAAAGTGAAAATAGCACAATATTACCATGTAGTTATTATAAAAACTGAAAGCTCAATCATAATAAATACCACACTTTAGATATATCCATTAAATGAAGGCACAAGAGGAGGAAAGTCACTTCTTTTCTGTGGTGCAACACGCTCATAAGTCCTACGAAACTTTTCATCAACATTAGTGAGATAATAAGTGCCAGGAAACAAATTCTGAACATCACCAACAGGAGAATAGGAGCACTTGTGGTGTGTCTCTTCCCTCAGCTTCATAATAGCCTCAAACTCTGCAGGTGGTACGACCTTTCTAGCACTAAGACGATGAGGTATATCAGATAAAGTGGACATCAGTCGGGAAAGAGGAGAATCTGGAGAATGGTTGAGAGAAAAACGAACCGAATACAAAGCGCTTGCCAATCCTGAACCGTAAGAGAACAGTAATGCACGTTTACCACTAACTTCGGAAGGCTTTTTCCTACACACATTTAGAAAATAAAAATGAGAGGAGAGAAAAGGATAAGACTCAATGAGCACATTTTCATAATTACCTAACTAAATGTGCTTACATACATACACAGTACTTAATACACAAAATTAACACAACAATTACTTACACAGAAAGAAGTGATGCAAGCCCTCCATACAATGATGCAGTGTACATATTACCAACTTCAGTACCAAGCAATACCGATGGCAGAGTCTTAACATTGTACAAGTCATTGGCTGCTTTCATTGACAACTTCTCCACATCTTTGTCACCCAAAGTCTCCTGTAGTGTCTTACCCCTATTAAAAGAGAAAAAAATTGAAAATACCAAGTATACATACATTTGTAAGAGAATAACAGTAAGTTATTTGCTTAGGGGCTATTTCTTCACCTGGGACATAAATTTCATTCAATGTTGACTAAACCTAAGAGGTGTGGCAGTGGCACACAAGGGAAAATGGCAGATCCAAAATTTCATTCACCTACATGTGTATATAAGGTCAAATTCTGAGGCAATTAAACATAAACATTTCTAAACCATCCAATTATCACCGTAATCAGCTCAAAACAGAAATGGGCAATTCTATCCTATTTTAATGGTCTATGGACTATGGCAAAATTTGAGAAGACATTAAATATGGGCAAATGAAATAAAATCCCCATACCATACTATAAGCTATTTCAAAGTCATACTTACCTAACTTGCTCCAGTTCAGGATATTTATCTTTTAATTCAGGATTAGTAAGATAGTCCTGAAGAACAAGACGAGAAAAGCTCTTCTGAACAAGTTTAACAAAAGGTGAATGAAAGCAATAGAAGTCGCCATCTTCAACTGTGTAACCAGAACCATTGGCAGCTTTCTCCCCATATCTCTTGTAGCAAGTGTCCAACGCATTCAAGTAACACTGAATAGAGAGTTTCCCATCAACCACTGGATACTCTGAACTTAAGTTAGGCTTGTAAAAATCGTATACATGCTCCATGTGGACAGCTCTTAAACCTAAAAAAATTAAATACAAGTTGAATCTATGGTTGCATGATTAAAAGCGTACCCCTTTCAAATACTATTGGAGCATTAGGACCAATCAACATAGCAACAGCACCTGCTCCTCCAGTAGGCCTGGCATTCCCAGAAGCATAAACAGCAATATCAGCAGCTACTACCAATGCAAACCGACCTTTGGAAAAGTACAAATGTAACTGAAATGATGTGATAATTATGATACAATGAATATACTGTAAAGATTACAATAGTAGTATTCAGTATTCTACATCATACTGTACATACAATAGTTTACAGTTAAATGTTACTACCTTGTAATTTAACAGTATTTGTAACCTTTTATAATATACACTGTACATGTAAATTACAGTTTAGTAGATAGTAGATGAGTTCCAACATCCTCTTTTCAAACATGCAAGAAGCCAAATAAATTAATGCCACTACTGCACTCAAAAATACAAAAGTTGCCAAATATTTTAGTGAGGTTGACTTTATAAACAACAAATTTATTTTATGGAACAATACACAAATAACCCCAAACAATACATTTATCACAAACTGACTATCTACGAAGTACAAACATCTGTCATTTAAACATTCACAAAAAACTCTTACCATCCCAACTACTGCTTTCAACCCACGAGATAGCATTGAACAAAGCCTGAGTACCACCAAAACAAGCATTAGTAGTATCAATACCCTCTACAGAAGTGTTATCAGGAAACAGCTTCATCAAAACCGACTTGACTGATTTCGACTTGTCAATAATGGTTTCCGTTCCCACTTCCAAACGACCAATGTCTTGTTGAGAGACGTTATTCTTCTCAAGTAGAAGAGAGACGGCCGTCAGAGCAAGAGAATTTACATCTTCCCTGTCAGTACAGAATCCCATATTCGTCTGACCTAAACCAATAGTGTACTTCCCAGAACCAGCTCCATCGAATTTCTCTAATTCTGTCTGATTCACACAAATAGAGGGAAAGTACACTTCCATGGCCAAGAGCCCAACGTCATCAGGCCATTTCCCAGATACACGAGAAGAAGCAGATTGGCTCGACATATTTAAGACAAAGACAAACAGGCGAATGAAAGTATGATGATGTCTCTTGCTATAAATATTCCATGATGATCTTCCTAGTTTCCATTAGTGTCACGCACGTGTGCTAATTGGTATATGGTCACCGCCCCACTTGTCCATTTGACCAATCAAATCACTCACACATCACTGGTGATTGGGCTGGGAACGATATTCACTGCCTCCCTTTTCTGTGGCCTCATCGACAGACTCAGAGGAGTTGGTGGTACCATGTCTACTTCTGACTATAGCTACATCACCATCTTTGAAGGGATACTGCTATATGCGTCTGAGGTGAGATTTAGCCTCACCCACCCATTTTATATCCCATCATATTAGGCTCCAACTTACCACATCATATTGGAGGTTGCCCTAGTCTTGTGGATCATTAAATTGTTATTCTTTACTCAAAAGTATCATCCAAATGCTTCCGACAAGCCTACACCTGAGGTAGCTCAATGCATTTGTAGAGTGTACCTATTAATTGACAGCTTGACTTATTTGTCAGTGTTGAATGTGTGGGACAAGCAAATACATACATACATTTACTCTTGGTAGGTGTAACTGTGGGTGGAAATACTGTAATAATTGCCCCACTTGCCATGCTAAAATTGATTTGAGTATCATGATAATTAATTTGTAGGAGGAAGAAAGTTTAATACATGATTGGGAACCAGAGCCTTTAGTGCCTCCACTTAGCGATGATAATAAAGTACCAGAGAGCCCCATAGTAACTGGGTAAGTTATGTTAGTACTGGTAAGCAGTAACTCTATGGTAATTGGTAATATGAAATTGCATATACATTTCTTCACGATTACTTGTTAATTAAATAGTGCAATTAGCACATTTGAATTTATGAATGGTAGTGTTCATTCACTTAAATGTGTTTGTATGCCTGCATACATGTATAATGACATTTATAGCATCTGTAATTATCTTATAAGTGATGTATTAAAAGTACAGTTGTGCATGTATGTGTTGTAACTGCTTTTTTGTGTCTTGATTAGAAGTACTATAAGTACATGTACGGTATATGCATTGTACATTTTCAAGTAATGATAGTGTTATTTTAGGATGACTGGAACTTATGTAACTGTTGATGGAAAGAAATGTCTTAACCTTGCCACATTTAATTTCCTTGGACTCCTTAATAAAAAGAATATTCATGTAAGTGCACACATTGTCTATTTTGGGTTTTTTTTGTTTTATGAGCGGATTTATAATATCTTCATAGGGTTTCCTACAAATCATGTATGCAATGTATATGAGCCAAAAAACAGCATTCTTCATGAGCATTCACAATACAATAAATACAGTACATGGCATTTGGAGCAACTTAAAAATTCATAAAAAATTTAATTTCAATCGGAATTAGCTCATGTTTTCTTCACAACATGTATATGTAATTGAAAAGATTATAAAAATGAAGAATTCTGTCCTAGCCACTTTCAATTAGAAATTTGACAAATTCTACTCTCTGTACTCTTGTACAGGGTGTTTGACCCAATTTTTGAGCAACTTTAAAATTTTCAAATTTGATTGAATCAGCTAAAGTTGTAATGTATATCCTTATCAGAAAAAATTGTAAAAATAATCAATTTTTTCCTTTGATTTTTGACATTGAAGTACCCTGTACTTCATAGTACAGGGTCTTTGGCCCAATTTTTAAGCAAGTTGACTATGCACTGACAAGAAGTTGCATGAGCAGTATGCTAAAATCCTGTGGGAAACCCTGTAACTCATGAAGTAAATAATATTATTTTAAGGTCTGTAAAAGCAGTTGAAGCATGCAATATGTGCTATTGTAATGATTACATGCTCTTATGTAATTGTCACTTTGTGAGTATAATGATCAGTGATAGTAGTATTAACAAATTTAACACGTTACTATAGTATAATTTGTGTACATGTAGTGTAAATTAATTTGTTTGTAGGAAGTAGCGGAGACAACTATAAAGAAGTATGGTGTTGGCTCATGTGGTCCTAGAGGATTTTATGGAACAATGGGTAAGATTAACATTACTGATGTGAAGTACAGTACATGTAGGCTGAAAGTTTGTATTAGTTTACAGTTTGGTATTGTAAAAGATTTTACATGTATATACCTAGCTTTCATTTATAACTGATATTGGCAATGGATTTGTCTTTAATTCTTTACTTATTGTTTATAGATGTTCATATTGATCTTGAGGAGAAACTTGCAGAATTTACTGGACGAGAGGAAGCAATTGTTTATTCATTTGGTTTTGCTGCTATTGCCAGTGCTATACCAGCTTACTCAAAGCGCGGCGATATTATATTTTGGTAAGAAAGTAACATTATTTTTTACTCTCTTGATAAATATACTTTATGTGAGTTAGTGATGAAGGTGTGGGTTTTGCTGTACAAAAAGGTCTTTCAGCTTCTAGAAGTCAATTAAAGTACTTTAAGCATAATGATATGGAGGACTTGGAAAAATTGCTTCTGGACCAAGAAAAGAAAGACAAAAGAGTAATATTATTATGGTAATTTTAGCTGCGTTACTAATGCTTTTATTATAGAATCCTGACAAGGCCAAAAAAGCACGAAAATTTATTGTCGCAGAGGCTTTGTATATGAATTATGGCGATTTGGTGCCCCTTAAGAAACTGGTAAGCTGTTTGTTACTACATGAACATGTACATATACACGTGCATGTACATGTACACATACACTGTATGTATTTGTGTAGATTGTATTTGTATAATGATTTATTCATGTATTAAACATTTAGGTAGAGTTTCGTAAACGTTTTGGTGTTGCAATTATATTAGAAGAAAGTTTGTCATTTGGTGTGTTAGGAAAAACTGGAAAAGGTGCTGTAGAACACTTCAACTTAACGGTTAGTTTCTTACATTGTATGCACACAACACCATATAGTGAGAACAATCCCATGAGATTAATTTTGGTGATTGGCAGATTAATAAATGAATCCGCCATTTTGCTTTACTCTGAACGTGCTCAATGACACATGGCTGTAAAAAGCTAATATAAATCTTCCGATAATAGAATCGCTAATATTAAGTGCTAACATATTTTCCCACCACACTGTCATCACTTTTTCTCACCCTCATACATTGTAGAATGATGATGTTGACATTGTCTGTGCGTCAATGAGTTTAAGTATGGCCACAATGGGTGGATTTTGTGCTGGTAAAACTTTTGTCATTGATCACCAAAGACTATCAGGTATAATAAACTACATGCGATACATGATACATGTACCAACAGCTAGTACACTGCATTACATGATAGTGACCTAATTGATGTCAAAAACATGTAGTGTTTCATTTAGAGGTGTAAAGTACTCCTAACTGCTTTTGTTACATGTATGTTGTTTGTTCTATAGAGTTGCATCTTTTGTTGCCTCATGATTATTGTATTAATATATTTATGTATCTGTTTAGGTGTTGGATACTGTTTTAGTGCTTCTCTGCCACCTTTTCTTGCAACAGCTGGCTCTGAAGCACTGAGCATCATGAAAGAGTCTCCAGCGATGTTCCAAGAACTGAGAGAGAAAGCAAAACTATTCCGGCAGCTATTGAATGAGTGAGTTATAAACTCATAATACCCATTTTACTGGTGTCATGTTTGTTATATTAGTATTTCAGAGATAAGAGTTGAAGGTTTTGAGGAGAGTCCATTGATACATATTTACCTTGCTCATTCACAAGGATCCCGTGAGCTTGATAAGAACCTTTTGGATCAAATAGTATCAGACTGCTATCAAGAAGGTATTGCTATCGTTACTGCTAAGTACTTGGAATCGCAAGAGCATAATCTCCCTCCCCCAAGGTATAGCCAACTGTAGTTTGATTGCATGAGTATTAGTACTTTGTTCTACTAATAGTATTAGATTGGCAGTGTCTGTGGAGCACACTAAGGAAGAGTTGACAAAAGGAGCTCAAGTCCTCAAGAATGTATTTGAGAAACGATGTCAATGATTAGCATAATAATTTTTCCCTTTTACTTGTCGTGTATTTCAATCACTGGTAATATTAGATTTACATGATTGTCTTTAATTTAGGTGCAGTTTCTGTTCACCTTATTTATTATACTGATTATCATTATCTATGCCTATGAATAATGTGCCCTTTTATTGTCTCAGCAATAAAAACACTTTGGGTCTAAAGTGGGTGGTGATTTTGATAAGAGGGTGTGCTTGTTTGTTTTGCCTATCTGTCTCATCCTACTTTGTCTTTGTGACCCTTGGAAAGTGGTAAAATGTCGTTGCAGCCAGGTTTAGGGGCTACTATTTTACAGAGCAAAAAAAGGAAAAAGAAGGCAATCATCATCTTTTTGGTTTTGTTGTGTTTCTGTTTGCTTTTACTCCTGCTGACTAGTTTGTGTTTATTTGGATATTATGTCTCTCCTCATTCTGTCACTGGTTCATTGACAACAAAAGGTTCAGATGTATTTGAACTGATAAGAAGCGATGGATTCAACACATTATTCGTCAAGGACGTTATCATATCATCCAATGCATCACACGGTAGAGCACAGCCAATCAACTATTCATTCTATAAAGCCTTTTGTAATGATATACCTAAAACATGCTATTCAATAACTAAAAATGTCTCCTGCAGCAATTCAAGTGGTTGCAATATTCATGAAGGTGGTCTTTTTTCTGGTATTGGTGGCAAACCTGTGCTGACTTATACATCAAAAGTTAACTCCGCATCATTGACAAAGTCATGTGCATTTCAATTATACCTATTTAATGATAAGAATAATTACAATGCTCTTATCCAGAATAACACTCTCACAGGATATGTCGAAAAATCAAATTGCTTGCCTGGAATCATTAGTAATACAACAAATTTCAGTACTAATTTTTCATTAAACAACTCTGTATTCTACTATGTTGCTTCAATGATATTTGATGAGAACTTGAATGAGGTTCAGATAGTTCTAAACATTAACAGTCACATTTGTAATCACAGTATGGAACGGTTGCAAAGAGAGCCTTGTTCAATCAGCAAGAATGTTAGCAAGTGTACCATTAGTGTATCTGATGGCATTGCCACTAAACAAGATCAAATGTGTATACTCACTAATTCAAACACCAATAGTAAAGATCCTTTAAATTATTCCACTACTACAACTGGCTTCAACAACATAGCATCAATTGTAAGTTTTATATCTGCTGGAATTTTTTTGTTTTTGTTTACTGTTACAGGGATTATGGGATTAATTTACTTGAAGTATTACTATAAATTTGCAAAAAGACATTTCCATAATCTGCCTATCAACCATTCTTATTCATACAACAGTTTAGATTTATGAAATTCATTTTTGTATAAAATAATGTAATGTCAATTTTTTTAAGTTAAAATAATAATTTTGCTTTAGTGTATATTGATCTATCTACTATGTAAAATACTGGATCTATTTTTATAACAATAATGATAACATTTTGTGAATGAATAAGTGTCAACATAGATAACATTGTAAGACCAAAACTAAAACTATCTAGATAATATAGCAGCTAAAACTATATAAGTTTTGTCTTTAAATTAAGGAACTAGAATTTTGTTCGTGTTATTTTTAGTAATAATTTTGTTAATTTCGCATGCACTGAAAGTTTTTTAAAGCATTAACAAAAGCAACAACAATTGTGTGACAAGAATAAGTTTTGAAAAGAAATTTTAAGATTTAGAATTACAATATAAAGTAACATAGCAATACAGTAGCTGCTCTAAAGCTTATTCACTCAAATTTGAATCAAATCCAGATCCACTTTCTTCTTCCTCTTCTTCATTGCCTTCATTTCTAATGCTTGGACATTCAAACTGTAGTTTGAATCCCATGCTTTGTGTTGA